CAAAGAGTACACTAAAACCAATACCAGAGCACTTGACTAAAATTACAGAGCTACGTAATAATCTAAAGCAGCTACGTAACTACACTCTGATTGCTCTGCTAATAGTCAACCTTATGTGGCTCATCCTTCTCTCTATTTTCACATTTAATGAGTTAAAAGAAGTTGGTCTAACTGCCAGTATTCTTAGCCTACTTTTTCTGGTTTTATATGGAATCTTAATAATGGTCCAATTCTTTGCAATGATATTTCATCGAGTAGTCACACTCTCCCACTACATTGCTCGACTGAATCAAGACATGCCAGTTGAAAATGATGAAAACTCAATAGTATAACAATAATAGTAGTTAGTTAGTTAGTTAGTTCATTAGTTAGTTAGTTCATTAGTTAGTGTGTCTCATGTATTAGTATATTGTTTTTTTGCTTCTTCACTTGAGTATTATTATTTGCTGTCAAATCAGTTAAGATCAGATTATTGTAAGGCTCTAGTTTTTTCCACCATTATGATATCACAATTGCAGTTTAAAACCATGTTACCTTTCCTCTACAATATACTTCTTCAAATCTGTAGCAACCTGGCAAGCCATAAAAGTTGCCATTCAATGCCTTGCAAGAATTTTTCAGCAGAATAATGAACACATTCAGGAAAATTGGACAAAAGTAATACTGAGTCGTAAAAACTTACTGAAAATAATCATTATAATTTAGTAAAGTAATACAAGCTTGTAAAATAGAAAAATTATGAACAAACATAATTCAATAAATTCAAATATACTTTATTCACCAATTGATTATACACAAATATTGTTACACATAAATAATAGTAAAGTTTCACAGTAAGTAACACGTAGTTTGTACCTTTCTCATGCAGGGGCCACACGGACATTGTGCCTTGAAAAAATAGAAAATATCTTCCTCAACTTTTGCTTCCAATTAAAACAGGACTAGTATAACATAAATAAGCTACTCCATTTAGACATAATACTTACTGCACTAAAATTAGTTCTACTGACAGTAGTCAGTGTAGTTTCCTCCCCATCAGCTGTAATACAAATAGTTAATATTTTGATTTAGCTCTATCTT